AGGTGGAGCTTTGTTACTCACAGGTGGTTTCCTGGGGCCTTATCAATGTCAGATTTGGGTCTTTCAATTTCCTTCAAAATTTTCTAGGGGTGGACATGGGTGAAATGTAGAGGAGCTAAGATTGACCGGGTGTTGATGATGATTAAAGGGGGGTAAGGTTAGAGCAGGGGTTCATTATATATTCATCCYTACTTTTGTTGATTTTATGATAGTCCACAATTTTTAAGAATAGGAAAATAATGATCAATCAACACTAACTTAACAAAGAAAAAAGAAATTCTTGTTTTCATTCCAAATCATTGCCTATACAGCCATCCTGCCCTGTCCTCCGAGAAATCCCCCAAGCTCCTGGGGGAGCAGTTTGGGACTGTGGTGTCTGCTCTGGAGCAGCTGCCTTCATTTATGAAATTTGACCCTGAACAGTGACTGGGGCTAGGAACATATCCACATTCTTGTTTCAGGCTTAGGGAGTGGTGAGACTCCTAATGGTGGCATGTGTTTGGGACTGACAGATGGTCTGGACCTTTTTATGTAAACATGTTTGACATAGATCAAAAAGGAATAATTACCAAAGAGGAAGAGAGGGAAGGAGAAGAGGAAGGCAGTATTAAAGTAGTTGTGTTTTACAAAGTAGAAAAGTTTAAAATCCTAAGACTCTTCTTGTTCTAGAAGAACACATCTTAGCCTTAAAGGGCTGATGCCATGTTATAATCACTAATCTGGTGCTTCCCGTGCAGTTCGTAACCTTGATGGATCACGTGTGTCTGACTGTCTCTTGCTCCCCACTCTTTCTCTTCCATRTGCTAGGCACAAACAGGGTCTGGGCTCCAGCCCTCAGTGTAAACTGCAAGTAGACAGACAGTTGTGTGAGATGGGTATTGACTCTGAGTGCCCAAGGCACATGACTAGCTCTGCCACAGTCAGGAAAAGCTTCAAAGAGAAGTGATATGTATACTGGGTTTTGAGAAATAAATAGGAGTTCACCAGAGCGGAAGTAGGAGGAAGGGAACTCCAAGCCCAGAAGTATGAAAGACCAGGGAGCTTTGGATGAGGAGTAAGTTCATTGCATTTAATGTTCAGAACACAAAAGAGTGAGGAAAAAAATTTCCAGAAGACGATGGGGAGTCCTGGGGCATCCATGAGTTGTTTGTCTCAACCTCCCCTCTTATAAAATCTTGGACTTCTTCCTGTGGTTGGAACTCACCAAATCGCCTGTAGCTCTCCCACTAGGCTCTGATTTTTAGCCTGAGAGAAGTGTGCAGGCTCCAGAAGATTGAGAGGACTGTCGTAATGGACACCCATGAGCACCTGTGAAGGCCAGCATGCCTTCCAGGTGCACATGGTCCCTCCCYGCTCTGTTGATGGAGCCCTTAGGAGGATTGTTTTAAAAAAAACCAAAATACCTGGGGCTGGGCTTGTGGCTCAGTGGTAGAGCACTCGCCTAGCACGTGTGAGGCCCTGTGTTCGATCCTCAGCACCACATAAAAATAAATAAAATAAAGATATTATATCCATCTACAACTAAAAAAAAAATTTGAAAACAAAACGAAAATCCCCTCACCCAGTTGGGTGTGGTGGTGTACGTCTGATTCCAGTGACTTGGGRGGCTGAGGTAGGAGGATTTAAAGTTCAAAGCTGCCTCAGCAACTTAGCAAGACTCTGTCTCAAAATAAAAAATAAAAAGGGCTGGGCTTGTAGCTCAGTGGTAAAATGTTCTCTAGTACAAAACTAAAAAAATAAAAAAACTCATGCAAAAAAAATAAATAAAATAAAGAGGAGTTACAGAAGTCCTTTCTCAGGAGGACTATGATTATATTCTTCTTTTCTGTAATTTGTATTAGGCACAGTATAGGCCCCTATTTCCTTACTCACAATACCAAAATCCAAATTGCATTGAAAAAAAATTGCTCTCTTTGGGTTTGTTGCCCTAGAATTCATTTGGAAGCAGACTACCTGCACAGATGTGAGGTTATTTATAGTCCTTATTGATTCACTTGGTGTGAAGATTCATATTCGGCTGCCAAAGTCCTAATGTGTTTTATTACAGGGTGCTGCCCTGGGCCCACTGGAGGTGTGATGTAATTTTGTGGCATATGCACCATATTACCTTCCTAAAATAAAAACAGAAATGAAAGCCTAAAGTCCAAAACCAGTCTGCCTCCAGGGCTTGGGTTACCTCTATAAAGAAGATAATATTTTATGTTATCTTAAAAAGCCGAGCCCCTGTCTGGAGGTGTAGCATGTGTGAGGCCCTGAGTTTCGTCCCCAGTAGCGAAAATAACAAAACAAAACAAAACAAATCAGACCTCCACCTGTGCRACCATGATGAGCCTAATGGTGTGGATAGCCCTGCCCCATTTCTCCGGCCATCGGTCTCCCCTGCTCCACCGTGACCACTGAAACCGCTCCACCCATCTGAACCCTCTCTCCTCCTCTCCTCCACTCATCACAGCAGATGAGCTCACCTCCTGCTTTACAAGGTAAACACAGGTCACCAAGTCAGAAGCTCTCTCTACCTACACAGGCAGAAACTGAATGTACAAACTTGCCTGCTGATACCCATCCTTGTCCCCCTTCTCTCTCCAACTAATGGATAGCCAGGAACTCAGACAGGCTCTTATGGAAGGCAGCTCCACCCAGCCCATATCCCTGCCTTCCATCAGCTTTTAAATATAGCATGGTGAAGCTTTTCCATCCCACAAAGACCATGCAACCTGCAAACGAGCAATCCTCACTGACTCCATGGCTGCCTCCTGATAATGCCCTTCTCCCTTCCATCCCAAGGTTACCTGCCCAGGGACTTGCCTGTGTATTACCTCCACTTCCTCTGCTCTGCTTCCTTCCTCTCCTCCCTCCACCTGACGTCCAGACCCTCAGTCCCTGAACAGCCCTCCTGGGACCTCTGTGCTGCTGACTCTCTACCTTGGCATCTGCCATTCGGCAGCACTGGTCTTTCCTGCTCACCTCTCTCCCCAGAATTTGCTCCTGCCTGCTTCTCTAGCTCCCTTGGAGAAGATCCTTCCTCTTCCCTGCATTAAATTTTATAAACTAACTGATCTGGCTCTGGCCTCTTCTCACTGTCCATCCACTGCCTGCTCCACACAACTACACCTCCAGCTGTGCTCTCTCCTCGGAAGCCCAGACTCATTTGYCCAGATGCCTGCTAGGCAGCTCCTCCAGGAGATCTTTTGTTACCCACCTTTGGTACTGGGGATTGAACCCGGGGCATTTACCACTGAGTCACATGCCCATCCCTTTTTATTTTGAGTCAGGGTCTCGCTAAGTTGCTTAGGGCCTTGCTAAGATGCTGAGTCCGGTGGCTTCAAACTTGCAATCCTCCTGCCTCCCAAGCCGCTGGGATTACAGGTGTGCGCCACTGTCCCTGGCTCTTCTGCAGAATGTCTTATGAACACGTTAAGCTCAACCCATGCAGAGCTAATGTCCTGTCAGCCCTGCRCAACCCCACCAACCTGCTCCTCTTCCCTGTTCCATTTCCACATGCTCAACACGCAGGCCAGAAATGTGGCTGTCACCTTTCCTCTTCCTCTCCAATCCATCCCTAAGGTCTTTTTGGTGTCTTCTGCTTGAATTCCTCCATCAGCAGCACCTGCCCCTGGGCAAAGCCACCACCTCCTGCCTCCTGGACCCCAGATGGTGCTTCCTCGTGTCTCCTGTGCTGCATCCGTGACTCTTTTGGAAATGCACATCTGATTGTGTCCTTCTTCAACCCTTTCATGATTTCCTGGATCAAGAGCTTTCTTAGGATAAAGACAGGAAATTGCTCCAGGCTCTTGACTCCTCTGCCTCACCTGTACCCTCTCCTTATTATCCCCTGCTGGCCACCTCCATTTCCCTTTGCACACCACCCTCTGTGCCCCCCCAGGACCTGTGCCCAAGTGCTTTCCCAGCCCCCACAGCCCCTGTCAGATGTCAGCTCCCTGGTCTCCTGGCTCATGCTGACCCCCTGCTACGGGCTCTCTGAGCATTAGGTGTCTGGCCTTCAGAGCCCTTGTCACATTTGCAGTTTGACATCTGTTGGTGGGATCATTTGACCAAGGTCCATCTCTCCAACTGGAGCATAAACACCCCGAATCCTGGGACCCTGCCCACTTTCTCTCCCGTGGGTCCCTGCCTGGAGAAACAGACACTTAAAGAAAAATGGATGTAAAAAGGCTTTGGAAATTGCCTACACCATCCAAATGCCAGTGTGGTTCAGGCCCTCATCAGGTCTAAGGGCAGAAAGAGCCTTAGGTAAGGGCTGTCTCTGCCGGGAAGTGTCTGGTCCTGTGTGCCAAGTGGTGCACTGGGGTGGGGGGCTTCTGTGACCTGGAGAGTGTAGACGTGTGTGGATGAGCCTTGGACCTCTTTTTCTGAGAAAGGGGAGATTGGGAAGGCAGGAGGAGGCAGAGGAAATGTCAAGGAGACATGGGTTTTTTTCCAGTTCTCTTGTACTCTTGGGAAGGCTACTCACTGCACACGATAGTCTAAATGAATGGCGCTCCCTAGAGTTGTGCACCACACAACCATAAGTGATGGCCTTGGCCGTGTTCCTTAGTCTGACAGCTCCACGGCAAGAAATATAGCAGTTAAAATTAACTGAGAATTTACTATGTAAGCATTCAACATTTATTTTATCTTGCTTAGTCCTCACAATAATCCTCTGAAGCCGATGCTTTTGTTATGTATGCTTTGCACTTGGGGATACTGCTTAGAGGGGCTAGATGAATTGCCCAAGTTCAACAGCTTCTCTTTTTTGTTTGGTACCGGGGTTTGAACCCATGCCCAGTCCTTTTTAATATTTTATTTAGAGATAGGGTTTCACTGACTTGTTTAGGGCCTCCCTAAGTAGCTGAGGCTGGCTTTGAACTCACGATCCTCTCGCCTAAGCCTGAGCTACTGGGATTACAGGTATGAACTCAGTTGAGRCTGAGGAAAGGGGGTGTGGAGGGAAGCCCCTGCACATGAGTAAGCCTGTGTCTCTTTCCTCCCCCACCCCACAGCTGGACAAGATGCTGGATCCCCAGGTGTGGCGGGAGGCAGCCACACAGGTCTTCTTTGCCCTGGGGCTGGGCTTCGGTGGGGTCATCGCCTTCTCCAGCTACAACAAGCAGGACAACAACTGCCACTTTGATGCCGCTCTGGTGTCCTTCATCAACTTCTTCACCTCSGTGTTGGCCACCCTCGTGGTGTTTGCTGTGCTGGGCTTCAAGGCCAACATCATGAATGAGAAGTGTGTGGTCGAGTAGGTGGCTTCTCTCCCCTGGTCCTTCCTTCCCTGCCCACCACAGCCAGGAGTGGGCAGGTGGCCATGCAGACAGATAGTTCYCTCCACTTCACTGAGCAATAAGACGCACGCATGCAGCATCGTCTGTCCCCAGCCCGGGCCCACAGGGACCTGTCTGGGTGTCTGGGAGGTGCCCCAGGACCCCACTCCTGTCTTCCTACCTGGCATTCTTCCCTTTGTGCTGCAGGAATGCTGAGAAAATCTTAGGGTACCTCAACTCCAACGTCCTGAGCCGGGACCTCATCCCACCTCACGTCAACTTCTCCCACCTGACCACCAAGGACTATGCGGAGATGTACCACGTCATCATGACYGTGAAGGAGGACCGGTTCTCAGCCCTGGGCCTAGATCCCTGCCTCCTGGAAGATGAGTTGGACAAGGTGTGGGGATAGGCTGCCCTTCCCAGGACAGGCAGGAACCCAGGGATGGGCCGCGGGTRGCTGGAGCTTGGGCACAGGCCTTGGAGAGCCCCTGGGAGTCAGTAGTCTACGTGGCAGGTCAGGACCTACTGTGYGTCCACAAGAAGAGAGAGGGAGGAAGGTGTCAGCCAGTGGTGCCCTGAACTAGGTGTAAGYCTAAACGAGCAACAGAGGGAACCACGGAAATCAGTCGGTGTGGGGTGACTTCCTATATAACAGATGGGCTTCTGTGGGCTGGGTACTGTGTGTGAAATGCACTGTACTCTTGTGTGAAACAGACACGTTAGTGTCTTTCCTTTGCTCTCCATCTCCTGTGAACCTCGTGGTAGCTCGATGASTTGGGTTTTAATATTGTCCCCCTGCTTTACCAATGAATAGTCTGCAAGTYGGGGGACTTGATCAAGGTCTCAAATGAGTAAATGGGCCAGCCAGGTTCAAATCCAGGTGGTCAGATCCAGAGCATGGGTTCTGGCTCACCCCTTGTAGCTTCCACCCCCTTGCCCAGCTGTGCCCACTCCAGCTGCCATGGCCATGATGACCTTTAGGTGGAAAGATGTTGTCCCCTCATTAGCTCAGGCCCAAGTTTGGGCACCTTGTTTCGATTTCTGTTTGCATAGCTGGGGCACTTTTCAAAATGACTTTTTGTTAGAAGGGGTCATCAGACAGAGACATACCCAGAGGGTCCAGGAAACCTGGCTGGAGCTGAGGCTTACATGGGACAGGACCAGCTCCCATAGGCTTGTGCTGACTGTGCCCTTYTTCATGGGACCAGAAGCTTCCTCTAAATCCTACCTGAGCTCCTGCATGTCAAAAGTCAGCTCCACTGGAGCAAGGGAGCTGTGTTCACATCCCTGACCTCTTCCCAGGGGACAAGAGCAAATGAGGACAATCTGGGGACCCCTGGCTGTTTTTTCCCCCAGGTGACAAGTAGAAGACAGGACATGCCCTTCCATGTTCCATGAAAGCCTGCCCCATTCTTTTGGGTTGTGAATAAAACTAGGGTTATGGCAGTTCTTCAATACCCTACAACCTCAAGAGTACCCAACTGTCACTTGCTCACGTGGGGCCCACATTCCTTCACAATCACTGGCCACCACAGGACAACATGGCTGAGATGTCAGCAGCAGTTMCGTAGCTTGTCTTCCTATTAGAGTCACCTGGGCTGGGGGGCCTTTGTAAAGCCCCAAAGCAGCATCATCCCAGACCAATTAAATCATTGTCCCTGGGAGGCGACTTAGGCGTCAGTGATTTTAAASACTCCAGTTTGCTTCCAGTGGCCACACCTGAGTCCATGGTATTAGAGTCTGGAGTTCAGAAGCTCAGAGCTGGGGGCAGCAGGGGTGGCTGGGGCCATCAGGGAAGATGTCTTAGAAGGGCAGGGTCTTATGCTGGGTGTATTCCCAGACATGAGCAAATTCATCTGAATGACTCGGATCCTTATACCACCTGTAGATTCCAGCTCCCCACCCTGGAAGTCCAGAATTGGGGCTTTCATACCCACCACAAGGAGATTCTGATGCCTACTCAGTTTAAGACCATGACCCACACCAGCAGGATTCAGGTGGAGGTGGGGAGTCCCTGTGCAGGAGGGAACAGTGATTCCTAAAGCTCCCGGGGCAGTGGTAAGGCAGCAGGGGGTTCCTGGGTGGGGTGGCCCTCACAGGCCCTTGCTCTCCCCCCTACCCTCAGTCCGTGCAGGGCACAGGCCTGGCCTTCATCGCCTTCACGGAGGCCATGACACACTTCCCCGCCTCCCCATTCTGGTCCGTCATGTTCTTCCTGATGCTTATCAACCTGGGCCTGGGCAGCATGATTGGGACCATGGCGGGCATCACCACGCCCATCATTGACACATTCAAGGTGCCTAAGGAGATGTTTACAGGTAACTCTTCCCTGCAGCCCTACCTGGTCCCACAGCTGCCCACACAGATGCAATAATCGGGTTCTTGCTCTCACTTCAGAAAATCTGGGTTCTGACTGGGTCATTCAGGACCTCAGGCCCAGAAGACCCTGCACCCCTCCCTCATCGGGATAAAGCAAGAACCTGGCTGTGGCACTTGGCCACCTGCACTTAGGAGCCAGGGGGACAAAGCTATTTGGAAATCTGGGCCAACCCTGAGCTAAGACCCTTGCTTGGGTTGCTTGCCCCACCTCCCGAGGGCCTGCTGACTTGTCTTAGGCAGGGATGCCCCCTCTCTGCATCCTGTTCCACCCTCTGCCCCTGCTGAGTTGAGCTGGGCTCTCACCTGCATCCCCAGCAAGGAGCATCTTGCTGTTCTCAAATGGGGAAACTGAGGTGGAGAAAAAGAGCCTGGGAACACTCAGAAGAACCATTTAAGTTTAATTCAGCAATTGCTGAATTAATTAAGTGGAGCAGGTGCTATGGGGTAGGGGCTGTGCTGGAGCAGGACCGTGGGAGAAGAGAGGAGACCCATGCCTCCCTCAAGATGCTCCCTCCTGGTAGATGGGGAGCTCAGCACCTCAGCATGGGGTCCCTCCTGCATGGCTGTACCTCCTGGGGGAACAGTGTGATGGGAGGGACCTGGGTGCCCCCACAGACCCCCAGGGCCCTGCCCACCCTGCACCTTTGCCCCCACACCGGCCTCCCGGCTCTCTGTAGTGGGCTGCTGTGTCTTTGCATTCTTCGTGGGGCTGTTGTTCGTCCAGCGGTCCGGAAACTACTTTGTCACCATGTTTGATGACTACTCGGCCACCCTGCCACTCACCGTCATCGTCATCCTTGAGAACATCGCTGTGGCTTGGATCTATGGAACCAAGAAGTAAGGGGGACAAGCAGGGAAGAGGTGGGGTGTGGAGGAGGGTCCTATCCCACCATGATTTCCTGGCGAGTCCTGTGTTCCCAGTGTYGCTTGAAGATTGGGGCGGGAGATTATAGAATCCAAATGTCAGAGTTAAAACCCTGCCTTTTAAGCTAGGCGCGGTGGTACACGACTGTGATCCATGGATCCTTGATCCTGAGGCAGGAGGATGGCGAGTTCAAAGCCAGCCTCTGCAACAGTGAGGCGCTAAGCAACTCAGTGAGGCCCTGTCTCTAAATAGAATACAAAATAGGGCTGGGGATGAGGCTCAGTGTTGAGTACCCCTGAGTTCAATCCCCAGTACCAAAAAAACCCAAAACAACAACAACAAAAAGTCCTGCCTTTTAGCACGGGAAACTGAGGCCTAGAGAGAGTCATGGCTACCCAGGCCTCTTGGCTAGTAAGAGCTAAAGTCAGGCTGAGGTCCTGTGTTTAGGTTCTGAGACCAGCCTAAACTTTCGTAAATTACCACAGTCCCTTTCCTGAACACCTGTGCTTTGTCAGAATTCTGCTAAGCTTGTTAAGCACTTGGTGGAGGCACCAGGGTCCCCAGTGCTCAAAGAACTTGTAGATTTCAGCAGCCTGATTCTCAAAATTGTGATTTGGGCCTCAAATTTGGGTTCAGGCAAGGTAAGAGGATTCAGCAATAAGAAAGGATGGAGTGTCATGGCCTACTGCTAAGGTAGACTTCCACTCACTGTCAGCTCCTGACCTCATTCCTCCTTTAAGGAAAAAATCAGTGTCCTCAAGAAGCTCCAGGACTAGGCCCTTCCTACTCTCTCAGCTCCAGAAGTGGCCTCACTGTCCTTCTGGGCAAGGCCTAGGACCTCTTCTAACCACTCAGTCTGGCCCTCCCTAATGCCTAGACCTGGATTGGGAATGGGGGCTCTCTCACAGGGATGGTCTGCTTCTTAAGAGAGTGCAGGAGGGACAGGAAGGGGTAAGAGAGGAGCACTCCCAGACAGGCACAGTGGTGCACACCTGTAAATCCCAGCTACTCAGGAGCCCAGGGCAGGAGGATCACAAGTTCAAGGCCAGCCTGGCAACTCAACAAGATCCTGTCTGAAAGTAAAATAATCAATCAATTAAGAAGGCTAGGGATATAGCTTAGTGGTARAGCACTTGTGTAGCATGCATGAAGCCCTGAGTTCAATCACCAGTATTAAAAAATGAGAGTGGGGCAGGGGGTGGATGGTGTGTAGTGGGCTGCTGCATCCATCACCCAACCCTGGGTTGGAAGACACTGCTAGAGGGGCTCTGATTACACATGCCATGGGCTCCTTTGGCATTCTGATGAATATTGTTTTTTAAATGCATAGGATAAAATATATAGGATTAGATAGGAAACGAATTATATTGAAAAATAACAAAATACTGTCTAAATCTATAAAACAGAAATGTACATGTACTTTATATGTATCACATAAAGCTACAAGATCTAGTTGTGGAAATAGTAATTTCAAAGTAGTGATGAATATAAATGAGGTTTCTAGGTATCTAACAACTRTAGTGGAAAATTAAAATAGCTTGTGATTTCATCTATCTGGTGACAAAGTCACAGATACAGTTGACTCCTGTGGTTACGTGCATTTATAATAGGAGCAGTTGCCAGGTTTCAGTGAGGTGGAATTGAGGTAAAGATGATTTTTGTGTGCATTCAAATACGCAGCCTGCCTGCCTCCTACAGTTCCAGCACAGAACCTACAGCTAGAAATCCCCAGTCAGGATGCTAGGGAAGTGCACTTTCATATTTTCTCCAGCAGGGGGAGACTTGAGCCGGGTCAGTTTGGGGGCCCAGGGCTCTGTGAACTGGAGCCCTCTAAGGGTCTGTCCCACTGGCCAGGGCATGTCTCTTGCCTCTGGGTGGAGCAGCTTGTAAGGTAGTCAGAGCAGGCCAGTCAGGCCTCACACCTGTGAGCATTGAAGATGAAGCCTAGAAAAGTCCAGGAGGGACTGATCAGAGAAGGTTTCCTGGAGGAGGTGGCCATGCGGGAAGGGGAGGCTCAGAGGTGCAGGTGCCAACTGCTGGCTTCTCTGCTGTGCCTGACAGGTTCATGCAGGAGCTGACAGAGATGCTGGGCTTCCGACCCTATCGCTTCTATTTCTACATGTGGAAGTTTGTGTCTCCACTGTGCATGGCTGTGCTCACCACGGCCAGTATCATCCAGCTGGGGGTGACGCCCCCGGGCTACAGCGCCTGGATCAAGGAGGAGGTGAGGGGGTGTTCCCCAGGGAAACCCAGGGACATTTGCATCTTCTTAGTGGTAGAGCACTTGTCTAGCATGCATGAAGCCCTGAGTTCAACCACCACTACTCAAAATGAGAGGGTGGGGTGGGGTGGGTGGGGAGGGAGGTGCAACAGGTCTTCAGAATAAACCTTTATATGTATGGCAGCTGTTCTGTGCCAGGCCCTGCTGGGTGCTTTGCATAGCTACTCTGGAATCCTTACAACAGCCCAAAGAGAAAGGTGGCATTGTCTCTATAGCACAAAGGAGGAAACTGAGTCTTTAACCCATATTCTCTCTCAGTGTCTATGGAGGAATAGAAACATTTTACAGATGTAGAAACAGATGTTTAAGGTAATCAGCTAAAAACCCAAGTAGCACCCTGGTGAGAGGAGTGGGAGGCCTTAGGCATGGGCAGGAAGGGGCTGGCCTAGAGGCCTGGGGCGGGAGGTAAACACTCAGTGCCACCTGCCTCCAGGCTGCAGAACGCTACCTGTATTTCCCCAACTGGGCCATGGCACTTCTCATCACCCTCATCGTTGTGGCCACCCTGCCCATCCCTGTGGTGTTCGTCCTGCGGCACTTCCACCTGCTCTCCGATGGCTCCAACACCCTCTCTGTGTCCTACAAGAAGGGCCGCATGATGAAGGATGTCTCCAACCTGGAGGAGAACGATGAGACCCGCTTCATCCTCAGCAAGGTGCCCAGCGAGGCACCCTCCCCCATGCCCACCCACCGCTCCTACCTGGGGCCTGGCAGCACGTCACCCCTGGAGAGCAGCGGCAACCCCAATGGACGCTATGGAAGTGGCTACCTCCTGGCCAGCACCCCTGAATCAGAGCTGTGACCACTGCCCCAACCCTGCCCACCTTTCCCACCACGCCCAACCTGCCCACTGGTCTGGGCCTGGCCTCTTCCTTCACAGTGGCCACCAGCCCCAGGCCAGCCCCTCTGCCCAAGGAGAGAGGGTCACACCCTGCCTCATTCCCATCCCAATCCTGGTAGACTCTGCTCCCTAGCCCTGATCAGGGAGCTGGGAGCAGCACTGCCCCCCAATCCAGGCCCCCAATCCATCTAACCCTTAGAACCTTTCACCAAATTGCAGCCATGTAACCAGAACAATCAAGATGTCCTGATTCCCAGTTCAGAGAAGACTCCAAATGGCTACTTTGGAGGTCATTCCATCCTCCTCTCTCCTTGCAACCTGCCACCTGAAGTTCTGGGGAGTGGGAGAGGGTCCCCCCTATACTATCAGGTGGTGGTGGGGAGAGGCCTCAGGGCCTGGGGGCAGAGTGTGCCATAAGAACAGGACTCACCCTCCTGCCCAACCCAGACTGTCTGCTGCTGGGCCAAGAGGCTGCCTGATTAAAGGCTGGGTTGGAGGACAGGTGTGCCAGGAGTGTGCAGAATCTCCCAAGACCTGTTTTGTGAGGAAGGTGGTACCCCTAGCTTGAGCAAGAATCTTGGCACCAAAGGGGACTTGTTGGCCCCTGGCTCTAGTTAGAAACTTTGGATGTCCTTGCCCCTGCCTAGGGCAGGTGGGGTATGCTCCTGCATTCTGCCTGGGTGGGCAATGACAAGGTTCAGAACCTCCCCACCTCCATTAGGGCTTAGCCATCTCCCACCCCTTCCATCCAACCTGAAGCCCAGGGTGGTGGCCTCTGCCTTCTTTCTCCAAAGAGAAGGGGACAGTGCAAGGTAAACTTTCCAGAGCGCAGCTTGATGGTTCTCAGCACAATTTGATGGTTTGGAGCACAATTGTGAAGCACACGCCCTCTCCCCTCACCTGGGGCCCAATTTTCTCTCTAGTGGCAGCTTCTCCCCTGGAATGGGCATCCTTGTAGTTCAGGAGCTCACTCCCAGGAAGTCTTGTTCCTGGAGAAAGACAGATAATTTTACTGCCCTTTTGGGGCCACCACTCACCCTCCTTGTTGCACAAGCACAGCCACCAGTGTTGCACGTTGTATGCAGACACCTTGGAAATCTTGCCCAAGCTTCCCTGGCCTGTGGTGGGCAGCGCTCACTGTGGACATTGGAGGCTGCCAAGGGCAAAGTGGAGCTCTGTCATGCGGCCTAGTGCCTGCAAGAGGCTACAGCTGATGGCAGCAAGCCCACCCTTACCTTCAAGCCTCCCCTGCAAGTTGGGCTGCCTGTGAGGATCAGAACCAGATCCAGAATAAATGTCTGCAGAGAGATGGATGGATAGGTGTACAGAGGGATGGACAGATGGATGGATGAGTGGATGAATGGATGGATCAGTGGATGGATAGAAGTCAGTCAGGCTTCATGTCAGCACTCGGGGGGGACAGAGACAGAGCAGGCTACAGTCCTAGGCTTGGGCATCTTCATAGAGGGTGCCAAGTCCCTCTTGTGACCTGAATACTCTCAGCACTGGGAGGGACAGACTAAGTCCAGGTCCCTTCCTTTACCCCTGAGTCCTCTGCTGCCACGCTCTCCCAGCCTGCCATTCCCCTTACTCAACCCTCCCCCACATCTTCTGTCATTTCTAGCCCTCTCAGCTCCACCTGTCCTTCCTGAGTGTTTGAGAGGAAAGGGAGACCCATATTTCCCCAAAGAGAGGCCCTCTCACCTGACAACACCTCCTACCTGGCTCCATGCCTGATCCCAAGCGGAATTAGCAACAGGAAAAGCAAGGCCCCAGGAGAGACTCTGCGCTGTCTATACTGTTCTATATGCTATTTCTATTGTACATTCAATCTGTACATGTGGGTGTAAATGCTGTGAAATGACAAACCCAATATTATACTGTGGCTGGTGGACTATTTTCATCCTCAGTGCTGTACAGATCTATTTTCATTGTATATTTGATATATTTTTAATTTTGTAGCATGGCTGGGCCAGGCCCCAGCCCGCGTGCCTGCGGGAGGAGGCTGCGCTGGGGCTGTCTGCTTGCTCATTGTGGGCTCAGTAGTGTTCATCGTAGACTTGTGCTGTGGGCTGGGCCCTGGCCTGGCAGTGTCTTTGCTGTGTTAGATGTCAGATGTAGGGCCCAGAGCTTGGTTGTGTGTGTGTGTGTGTGGTATGTGTGCACATGCGTGGGTGTGGGTGTTTGTAGGGTGCTGATTTGTGACCCTGAGTGTTCGACATGCTCCTGAAGACCATGCTGCCCTCCTCTTCTTCCTCCTCTCAGCTCTCAGCGAGGCCTCAGGACAAGTGCCCCAGAAAGCTTCGGCTTGGGCTTTGATGGTTGCCTTCACATCTCTGGTGGGAGGCAGGGGGGGGAAAAAGTCCCCCAATTTATTTTCCAGTAAACCTCTTGCTGTTCTCACAGGAGTCTCAGCTCCTTGGCAGGGAAGGTCCTGGGTTTCTTGGGTTCTCACTGCACCTCTGCCCTGCATTTGTCTCTGAGAGGATCCTGACTGCCCAAAAAGGGACAAGGCCTGGCTCTGCTTCTGACACCTCTGCTCACTTGGCAGGGGAGTCAGGGCAGGTGGAGTCACCGGAGGAGCTGGATCCAGCTTCCCTGGAGGAGTAAAAGGTGGCCAGAGAGGGGCAGACCCCCAAGTCCCTGCCCAGGATCCCCACCTGCTGCCTTTGGTGCTGTCCATACAGTGCCCACCAGGAGGCAGAGGGGCTCCAGGCTGTGAGTGGCTGAGCTGGGTAAGCAGGGCCATGCCTGTGAGAGGACTGCGCCCAGCCCCAGTCACCTGCTTCTTGCTCAGGGAGCCTTCACCCTCTCCGCTGAGGTGATGTGAGCCCAAGGCCCCAATTGAGGTGGACAGGTGGGGCACACCAGGTAATGCAGGTGAGGTAGGCGTCTGCCTTCCAGCAATAACTCTGCAGGGACTGCTGCTTTCTTAGTGCCAGGAGAAGCCCACCCAAGTCAGCCTGTGTCAGCCAAGAGGCTGGGCCTGGGCCTGGGCCCCACGCAGGCCTGCAGTATTGTCAGGCAGGTGGATGCCCTTTTGCCCTTCCTCATGGTTGCACGTCCCCCCCCCCACCAGAGCACTCCCCACTGTGAAAAAGAGAAGTGAGATCTAACTGTTCATAAAGCACCTGACTTCCCCGAGTACCTCCAGGTCCTTCCACTAGCCCTGAAACATGGGGGGCTGCCTGTCCCTTCATTGGGGCCCAATGACCTGGGCTAGGGGAAAAAGGTCCAGGCTCCCTTCTCATGGAAAGCCCTGCTTTGTACAGACCCAAGCACACACACCAGACAGTCACTTTGGGTCCTGGTGCAAGTTCGGATCAGTTCAAGTCCATGTGTCCCACGGCTGGTCAGAGCCCTGGGCCAGGACCATTCAGCCAGGGTGGGGAATGAGGCATTGTCACCCCAGGGCCCCTCTTTCCTCTTCTCCCCAACCCTGGTGTACAATAAAGTGTCTGTTCTTACCAAAGCCCTCTTGCTTTTCTTACCTGCTCTTGGGATCAGGGAAAGGGAATGGGAGAAGCCAAGGATCCTGAGGGAAGTTTTGGGGTGAAAGCTTAGAGTGCAATATGTGGACAGGATTCCTGAGGGTGCATGCTGGCTGGCGAAGGAGCTTGGGAAGCCACATGGATTTATTTTCCTAGGAATTGCTCTAAGGTATTATCAGTGCACACACCTGTGGCTACTCCAGACACCTAACTCCTGTGAGCTTTGCAGCCGTTCTTTGAGGGAGATGCTTTTGATCTAGATATTTCCAGGTGAGGAAAATGAGACTCCATCTGATGTGAGGATGGTGTTTGGTGGCCTTTTTCAGGGCCTTGCACATTTCTGTCCTGACTGCCAGGGAAAGCCATACCTGTCAGCTCATCAAGGGTGGGGTACATGAAGGCCTTCTGGGGGGTGGGGGTTAGGGACTAGGAAGCTGTCAGTGTCCAGAGGTCCCAGAGCAAGGGCTGGAAAGGCAGGGGACTTGGGGTACTGGAGAGGCGGGTTGGCCATGAATGAGCTGAATTCTGAGTTCAAAACCATCCTTGATTCAGGCTGGCTATCTCTTTTGGAAACTCCTGTGGAAGGTGAAGATGAACTACAGGATGTGACGTCACCTATTGTCTCAAATTTCTATCCCAAGCACTTATTTATTAAGCATCCGCTGAAATGCTCAGCACCGGGAACAGAATGAGCAGGTGGCAGGGGAAACTCTTCTCCCTGCCTCCTTCAAGATGCACTGATATTTGAAGAGCCAAGATGTCTGGCTTCGGATAGGGCCTCACCCCTACCCTGCCCCACTGGTCCAGAAGGATGCTGCTGTGTGACTTTAGACACACTCAGCCAAGGTCCCTAAAGGAGACTTCCATTTTCTTCCCGTGCCACAGACAGGAAAGCTGTACCAGGAATAACCACTAGGTGGCGGAAGAACCTTCTGTCCAGATCCCAGCCTGTGTCTGGCTCCTCCTCGCCACTTACTCCTTTGTGGGTTAGTTTATTTATTGAACAAACACTTATTAAGCACTCACCATGGGCAGCCTCCCTGTCAGCCATAGATACATCAAGATACGTAAATCAGCCCCCACTGCCCTGAGTCTTGCCAAGGGAAGAATCCACCCTGTGACTCCAAATCTCCCCACTTGTCTCTCAAACAGGAGAATGTCCCAGTGCTAGAAAAGTTATTACTTGTATAGTCATACATACTTTTGGCTGAAAGTCACGCTTTGCTCAGGGGTTCTAGGGTCAGACTCCTCAAGTTCAAGTTCAAAGGCTGGTTTGATCTCACATTTCCTGGGAGACCTTGGGCAAGTTATTTAATTCGTCTGATCTTCAATTTCCTAGTATGTAACGTTGAAATAATGAATATATTGAATGAGATAATCCAACACATTATTGCATATTGTGTTCCAAGTTAGCCCAACAATTAAAACTATGATTTTATTACATCTCACAATTTTATGGGTAAGGAATTCTGGCAGAGCTTGTCTGAGCAACTCTTCTAGTAGCAACTGAGGTCATTCAGTGGTATTCAGCTTGCAGAAGAGCTGGTCTGGAGAGTCCAAGGCAGCCTCCCTTACATTCATTCAAATGTCTACCCCCTCAGAGGAAAAGACGGGGAGCCTGGGTTCAGCAGGGAACATCAATCAGAATGAACAGAGTGAACTGGTTCCTCCAGCGGAGTTAAACTCTGGTGATCAGACTTCTTATGTCAACTCCAAGTGCCCAGAGAGAACATTTAGAGAGGCAGGAACTGCATTCCTATAATTCCAGCTGCTTAGGAGGCTGAGGCAGGAGGATTACTTGAGTCCAGTAGTTCAAGTCCAGCCTGGGAAATATAGTGAGATCATTTCTAAAAAACAAAACCTCCGAGAGGCAG